GCGATCTTTGAAGATACTACGTATACAAGATAATAAGGTGTTTCAATTTAAAAAAACATGCACCCCGCTTTAAACGAGGTTACTGAGTGATACTGTGTAATTATACAAGATCTTTCAATGGTTTTTATCATACATGAATGGGGATGTACGGTATAAATCATTACAGTCACCTTTCAGCTAAAGTCGCATGTTCGTTGATCCCTTGAGTGAAAATAACTGGAGAAACTTGTATTAATTTTCCTTCTTGCAATTCTTTGGGTAAATAACAGAAATATTCTGTTTCGAGGAGTATGGTAACATGAATATTAGCCCTTGAAAAAAGATACACAAATATATGTACTATATATGCAACGGTATCCATGCACCTGTTTTATTAACAGGCAAAAAGAAATCGTCAGGGAGTTTAATAATTAGCATGATACTAAAGGCCCTGTTACACAGTGCAATTTTTCCTGCAACTTGCAATGCAATTCTTCTTTGAGAGATGTAAATTTGGATACTACCAAACATAGCCTTAAAGCCGTATGATATCGTGCGCTTGCAATTGTATTATACCTTGTTCCAGTGACGTAGGGAATCGTTTCGTTATCAGAGCAAGCGAACTGAAAAAAAAGATGATGAAAAGTTCGCTTAAGGAAATATAAAGAAAGATATAAGAGTTAAAGACTTGGTCAACACATTGCATAATGACGCTGTTTTCTGGACTAGCTTTCTTGTTATCGCCAAAATAAGCCCATGAGGAATCTTCATTCTTTAACCTCACGTTATCCCTTGTCCCTTTACTGCATCCTAATAAAGTGCGCTTGTAAATGATCAGTCACATTTATGGTAAAGAACCTTAAATTTGACACATGAAAGATCGCGTATTGCAATGGACATGTCTTCTAACATTCCCATTTCATCACCTAAAAATAGAAATATTAAAAACGATTTAGGCGTAAAACAGACCACAACATGCAGACGCTTGCATGGTCGCAATGTTGAAGTGTATGCAAAATACTGAAACCAGGATCGCTAAATAGCAAATACTAGAACAAAATGCGTTATATAGTCACGGATATTTTGCACCCAGTTTGAAATTTAGCTTTAATCAGCCTTCGCTGAGTTTGTCCAGTGCGAATTTGCATGTGTCAATAACTTGAATTGCTAAAACATGCAGTGTAAATCGCAAGGAACACCCTTCTTATATATCTCCACGCAGAGGTAAAAAAATAGACAGAAAGAGTTCCATGCACCGTAAGTGCAGAAACTTCGTATTAAACAAATATACGTGCTGGTAAAATGTAAGTGTACTCAGAAACAAATTAGATTTTGCGCGGTCAACGCTGATATTATTGAAATTCGATGCCAATGGAAGAATTTTCTTCCCACAGAAATTACGACTACACATGCATGAAGTTACGATTAATTTCGGTTACACTCGTGCATGTACATTCGCAAGAAAAGAAATAAAAACATAGATATACTTTCCTTTCTTAATTCTAATAACTAACCGTAAGTACTCAGAAGACATTCAAATTCAGCAAGAACACCAATCTCACAAAGTTGTTTCATGAAACTTGCGTCAAATAGTGATGTGTAAATTTTAGCTTCAAATCCACAAATGAGTGCCGTTACCTTAAAACGTTACCATAAAACGGTTTAATTTATATCACCCTTGATCTACTATATATAAAAATAAACTCAACAAGACGCCTGCTCAAAGCGTTCACTCCGCCTGCATGCCAACTGATGAACATAAGTCATCCGTGGACCGTGTAACCCAGGGGCTTCTCGGTCAAAAATGAAGTTGTTTTGGGTTACCTGTAGAAATGCCAACTTCTGTCGCCCAAAACGACGAAAAGGAAAAAAGACCATGGCATTTTAAGACTCCGCTGCGCATACGCAGGCGGAGTAATAACGTAACCTATATATTGCCCACTAGCTGATACAAAATAAAATCAGATCTATACATTGCTTTTCAATTTAGAAATCCCTGACATGACTATTCTTATTACATTAAAGGGGGCCAGTCGAAGATTCTTCGCATGACAGAGTTTATACATTGAATAACTTACTGCCTGTGAAAGACAAATATCGCGACGTTGACGGAGGTCTTGCATAGTCTGGGCATGACGCGATTCTTCCTGAATAAAATAATAAATATTTCCAAAAGTTTATTTAAGAGAAGATGTCGCTATAACCTTTGCCAGGTATTACACATGCAAACACAATACAAATATATATGCCACAAAAATATATGGAAATTAGAGACGAAAGATTTTTCTATTATAATGTTAATACGCATTATATCTTATCTCCCTCTGCATGGGGCTTACAGTAACTTGTGTCGATAACTTTACTGACCTGAAGTAGAACGAAAATCATTCCCAAATTTAATTTCTTAATAAGAGCGTCAACAAAATAGTAAACATCATCTACCACGGAATCCAAAGTCTTCTCTCCTATCGTTCGCCAACTTTTCTTTGCTAAGTCTAAGATAAAACGTAGTTTATAGCTACTAGCTTACAAAACAACTCACTCAAAAACGCTTGATCCCAATTGGACAACTCTATTATGACACTTTGAAAGTAAAGGAATTTCGTGAGGCTATACGGAAAACCTACCATTCAAAATTAGCGGACTTTCTTTATTCAATTCATTAATCATTTTTAGAATCTGCGCCACTGAACTTTCAATAGAATTACGCAGAACCTATCGAAGAGTAATTTACATGAAAAACGTCCGATTTATTCTCTTCCTATATCCAATCAGTCGGTTTATTTGTGCCAAGCCAAGTTATTCAGTTTATTTGCGGTCAGTCTGCATGTTAGTGAATCAAAAATACCTGGCATTCGGGGTCATCGGCATCCTCCGATTCAGGTTGAAAATCATTTAGGCCTAAAGAATATATGAAAATTTATTACTTAAGTTAGGTACTACATTACCACTGCTTGGTCATTTACTGAATGTGACTTTCTCCCATGCAAGATGATCTCATTTTCAACCCACGCATGCATCTCGTAATCCCGATAACTATTTCTAGTCTATTCCAATTTGCTCCGCATTCGCCAAGTTAAGTTAATCCATGCATATACACACAGTTAGGGACATGTGGGATAAAGGTGATATAAAATATATAGGGTGATAAAAATTATCCCACACATATACCACAAAACGAATTACGAAATCTTATATATAGGAAATACGTTCATTCTACCTTTGTATGTGTATTTCTCACCATATTCTTCACGAGAAGTTGAAGCCGTGGATGGAATTGGACGGGATGTACTCAACGAAACAAGAGAATCGATGATAAACGTCATTTCATAGTATTTTAGAAGATCGTTCACCTACATGAGAAGTTCAATGGGAAATACATGAAAAGCATGCATGGGAAATAAAAAAACAAGGTTAAGACACAAAACCATTATTATCGGATCATTACTCAAGTTTTGTTTTAAAATGGTCGTGTCTCGAGGCGTCTCGCCGTTGTACAAAAGCAGATCAACTTGCCAGGTTCACAAGAAATAACCGAAGAGGTATATTCTTGGTCTTTGGTATAACTCACCTTTTCGTGCAACTTTGTTGAGAGTTCGATGACCTCCTCCAAGTTGTTATTGGCTAAAGCGCTAAAATGATGACAAGCGTAGGACAGCTGATTATATATAAATAATTTGTAGATAAAATATGCTCACAATGAGCATACAAATGATGTAGTATTTGTTTAAACCGCAAATAGGAAGCCACTTGCATGCGAATAGCGGCCCTGTATGTCATAGTTCCATGCCCGATCCTGCAACGGAGGCGCTGGCGCTATGCGTTACTTGGGCAGATAAAAAACAGCAGTACTTATATCGGAATCATATTTTATACCTTTTAAAATTTTTACATATATCCTTAAATGCATGTTTCAACAGTTCCAGTTCAACTAAAAAAGTGTACAAAGAAATTTATTTGTTATGAGAATGCAGCATATTATTGAAGATACATGAATTAATGGTAATTAATTAATATTGCGATTGCGTCATGTGTTTGGCTTCGATTTTATCCTTTAACCCTTATTATTAAAAATATCAGTAAAAATCAAAACATAAATAACGGACAATCCCTTACTTCTTTTATTCTTAGCTCGGTTTGCTCTGTTGTCACCTCCACTTTGCCTGAACATAAACCCAAACAGAGAGATGCAGAGAGTGTTATTACGCCAAAACAAGATGGTAAGCTAGTCAAAGATCTTCGCGCATGCGTTATACACACACTACACGTTTTACGAATCGGAAGTAAAGCAAGGTGTTTTTACGTACGTAAAATAAGCTTCTCTCAGGTTTCCTAGAAGTCTTCTCAACCCTCCTTTACTGTACTTCATTGAATGAGCCGATGGAGCCCCAAACGTAACCACATCATAGCCTTGTTCTAAATAAAGACATTGGCGAAAAAAATAAGTGAAACGCTCTTTCGATGATTACATCATTAATACATTTGGTTTTGGGAGTCCTTCTATATTGGATTGAGAGACAATCACACTCAAACTCATCGAGTCAAAGATCTACATCACGCCGTATCGATTGCATATATATAAGAGCTTGACTTTCAGTGTCGACCCTTAATCCCTTGTGATTCATGAGAGCGAGGCCCAAATTACGTGATCATCGAAGAAATGCATTAAATGTTGGAATGTTTGTAAAAATATTTTAGGTATACAATATTGCTATAACAGTATATTGCTATCAGGCCGGATATACTGAGCAAAATATAGGAGAAAAAATTAATACCATTCGTCCCATCTATGACTTTAAGTCTTTGCAAATGTAAGTTTGTTGTAACAAACGCCAAGGTCTTGTCCGTCTTCAGGCTGCTTGGTTTAAAATTACGCCAAGATGACACCCCTACATCTTGCCTTTCTGAAAAAATCCAATAAATTCAATACGTCGTAAATTAGGACGAAGAAGAGAATTTTCAACTATCAGGAGTGAATGGGAAGCGAGCGTTACACGCTTTCGTTTGCCCGTCAGTTACGCCTGGATTTTCTCCGCTACTCAGCAAGGAGCTCTCTACAGGTCATGTTCAACATCGCATGGTGAACACGTAATGGATGTGATATTGTGACATTACACTGATGACAGCATGTGGACAGAGTTGCAAAAAAGCTGCGGGTACGCGGGTACCACCCGGAGGAAGGTTTGCTTTGAATGAGGTTTGTGAGGAAGGTTAAAAGTTGAGCACTCTCATTGATCACATGCATGTACCAAAAAAACAAATATTTGTTTATGCTGGTTGCCACTTGACTCACGGCATGACGTAACGTCATTTTGAGCTAGGAAGGTTTTCAAAACTTGAAATCCTACCGGAGGAAGGTTGAACTCTTTTGCAACTCTGCATGTGGAATAGGTAATTGGGGGTGGTAGCTACATGTGACCAACATTGTATGCATGGTCATTCCTCAACATTTATTAAAATGGCAATATGACAAAAGAATATGAAATTTAAAAGTAAGTGTTTCTATTATTACTGCAAGTGATCAAATTTTCGCACCTCTCAAATTATTCAGATGACGAAATGATGCAGTATAATTACTGACTAATTTAAAATGGTTGTCGAGAATTTCCTGACGCACATTGTCCCAATCCGAGTTTAACTATGAATTGAAATTTAAAACATCAACGTTAAGAGCGAAGATAACCTGATAAATCATAAAAAAATTGCTTATATTATAGGTACTCCAGACCCTACAGTTTCGTGTTTTACTAAAACTACCAGACATTTCGAAAATTTAAATTTTCCCGACTGAAAGGGTTTTAAAAAACACATTTATATATTTTGAAATAGGGAAATTTCATTTTGAGCGAACCATGCAATTTGTACCAAATAATCATGAAAACTTGTAATGAATAATATGTAATATTGACAAGAGGGCTCAGACAAACTTCAGACAGATACTGGACTTTGCCTCGCAATTATAATATATATAGATCAGACTATCCGCGCATCCTATGAAGAAAACCTGTCGGGTTAGCGTCAGAAATTAGATTTCAAACATAAGACCAGTGAAATGAATATGACAGTTATTTATTACAGTTCACTGCATGAGACACATAAGCATGGGTCAAAATTGAGCCCGCCATGCATGCAATTAATGAAAATAATCACACTGCTAACTGTGGGAAAATACAAGTTGTCGATATGGCACTTACGTCGCCAAGATTATTTAAGTCTAAAATCTTTTGCTTTTCTTCAGATATGAAAACCTTCCTGTAAGAGGCAATAAGAGATTATGATCGCTGTTCACGATTGCACAATTCTTTTAATCATTGCATTATTAACTATAAGCAGTGCAGTTTCATGCATTAAAAAAGTTAGTCAATTCTTTCACATTTCGTCATGAAGTTGCATGCGTGTGTGATAGCCCTATAATGCAACGTAGAATAGATGTGGATATGTATAAGATAGACATGTGGAGTATTATTAGTGGCTAAACCTCCTCCCGATAATTAGTTAAGCTGCTCAGTTCGCGCAATAAGGGAAAATATTAAATTTGTTTTACATTTTACGTTTTAAAAAAGGTTTATTTATATTGTTATTATATCGGCTCATCAATGAGTATAGTAAATTTAGGTTTGTTTTTTTGTATATTTATGGTAATTTTGTATTTTGTATATTTATGGCATTCATGGTAATGTTTTTATGAGACAAAAGAGGAGAAAGATTTCATCATTTGAAATACAAATAACACTCGCAGTAAGGTTTTACAAGATAGACTCTTGAAGAACACCTGCGATCATATGCCTGGGCTAGTCAAGTATAGTCAAGAATGGAAATGGGCTCCATGGAGTTGATAAATTGTATCGTCTATCGATCTATAAAGAAGGCTTAAAAGAGATATTACGTAGCAATAGGCCGGGATAGTTTTAGTTTAACAATATTGCCTTTCAGCCCCTCAGAGCAATGCCGAACATAACAGGATGTCTCTTTCTTTATTTGCAAATTTATAATCCGTGTAAACAATGGTACGTAAACGCAATGAATCCGCTTATTCAGCTCAACGTTCATGCATCTCTTGGCAAATGAGTAATTAGTATTAATATAATAACAATATTAATACAAACATGCGGGTCGATTAAAATATCAACAAAATATCCAGATAGGACATTTATTTTAGCCTGTTATTGAACATTTTTCTTGTATGTTCACTGGAGCTGAGTTCCCCATTCTCGTAAAAATTTTGCATATGTTTGACTGATGGTCTTTGTTTGATGTGTGAAAAACAAGACACTCCACTTCGTGAGAAGGCTCCTCAAATACCTTCATATAATGAGGCTTCATTAATCATATACTTAATCCTAAACAATTCATATTGTTTAGAAATTATGACTTTTTCATGAGCAATATCACAAAGCAGTATTACACAATAGTTGAAACCAGCGTACACACTCAGGATTCCGTTCAAATTTTGCTGATGTAACGGCATTTATTCCTACATACGTCATCAGTCGCGCAGGCATCCAAATGTCGCAGAAATAGGGGACAACAGGAAAGATGAAACGGAAATATTATTTGTAATTAAAATGAAGTGAACTCATTCATCCATGCAAATCACTGAGTGATATTGGCATGTACAAAAGGTCCATATATACCTCGTGTATATAAGAACAGAAAAAGGTGCAGGGGTTCAGTTGACCAGATCTAGAGTTGGACAATGGCAGCCTTTCGCTCCAAAACTCTTCTGTTCGCTTTGCTGACAGTTGTTCTATTGGTTTGCACCCGTGGTGAGAGTTATGACTTCAAAGACGAAGCAGAAGGTTTACCATCGGAAAACGAATGGTCGAATATTGACGAAGAGTACCAAGAAGATCATATACGAGTGACACCAAGTTTGATTCAACCATCACGGACAGCAGCAGGCGTTCAGCAAACTCCAACACCACGAGCAACGCCTACTTTGGGCTTTAGCACAACACGAAGGCTCAGGTTTCGAAGGTTCAGATCAAGACGAGCAACGTCAAGAAGAATAACAAGAATAACAAGACCACCAAGACCCACAAGAAGGCCAAGACCTACTTTCCGGCCGAGTGTGAGTTATGCGATGTTATTATAAGCCATGCAGTTAGACTGTTAGAGTTAAATCTCTCGTAAACATTATTTGTGCATGCTTTCAACGATAGCCTTATTTATCGCCTATAATGGCGAATAACCCTAAGTATCTCTATATTTTCATATTAAATACTATATGCAATCATTGCAATGCATGCGTGTCTTTAATAAACAAAAAATAACCCAAAAATATTTAATCTTCTTTCAGGTTTGTCCATTTGACTGTGGTCTAACGTGCGTGGTTCCTAGGCGAACGATCTTCCAGCAAAGTTATGTTTGTGTTTTACCAATCTATACTGGTTGTCAACGGTGCTGCGCAACATATGCTTCATGTCGTAGATCAAATATTCCTCAATGGATATGTTACCAACGGGCATTGGATTGTGTTTGTGGTTACAGATCACGTTATAGAAATATAGATGCTATGGGCGTAGATGTATCGGGAAATTATTAGGCTAAATATCTTTTGAACTGCGTGCATACATAACTAATATTCATGCATTTATATAGTCACTGGGAACTTCTAGAATTCTTTTTGCAATAAATGATAAAGTGTTAAAATAATAAACATGCAGAAAAACAAAAGTGTTTTTGTCTTGGTAATTATTCATTTAGAACAATTTGGGATACCTTAGACTTAGCTAGTCCGAACTTATACGAACACATCCAGGCCGAATAGTGAAAAGTTTCAATACGACACAAGGGAGCAGGCCAAGCAAAGTTTATGCACTCCTCTAAATAATATCCGCCAAATTTGCAAGGCAATTACTAATATCCATGTCTCACTATTGTTGTTTTTGTTAAAGACTCGTTCACAATTGCTGCCATCATCGATTATCTTCCTGATAGATGCTAAAGAATAGAGTCATGAATGTCCAAATAAAGTAACCTATTTCTTAGACCACAGTTAATAAAATATACATGGTTGAAGACTAAATTAAAGTATAATACAACTCATTTCTCACAACAACTTCGTTCCTTTCTCGTCACGTGTCTATATTGTATTTGAGCCAAATTTACCAATGGCATTTGTCTTGCTAAGCTCCTCAACCTTGACTTGAAAATATTTTAATTATAAGATTGCTATTGGTTTATCTGTCCAAAATACAATAGACACGTGATGAGAAAGGTACATTTTTTTGCATAAATCTACCTCAACATAGTTAATGAGTTGTATTGCAGTTTTATGTCGTCTCCTCATTCTTAACTATTTCCTAGTTTGCCTCCGTAAAAGCCCCTGAATACTGCTACAATGCCATATAATGTCATGCATAATTAAAATTTCAAACAAAACCGCCATTACCCTGCAAAGTCGACTGCAATGAAATCAGAGAGACACGTCGTAAGGCATATAGCTATAGGAGCCCTGCTGCATGCATATATTCCGTGGTTTTGAGCAGGTAGAGATTCATGATATTTTGTATCAAACAACAAGAAAGCATGAAAAACACGATCACTAAATTAACGAATAAATTTCGTGGTTTAGGCCAGGCCATATGTTAATATTACTATTGCCACAAGTATATCTAATTAACAATTAGATTACGAGCTCGAGATTTCGGGCTTCGCCCTCATCAACTATCACCTCATAGAAATTGAGAGCAAGTAATCTAATTGTTTTAGTAGAATCAGTTCATCCTCAATCAAGTTCATCCTCAGAAACCTCAGAAAACCGCGAGCCGGAGGCCATTTTTCTAAAAAATACGCCAGAAATGCGACTGTTTGCGTACTCGCTATCTATCAACAATTAGATAGCGAGTAGAGTAGCCAATCAAATTTCAGCATTTGCAATAGTATGCTAGTATGATTCTACTAATACAGATTATACAGTTATAATAATAATGACTGCATGCAATGGAAACAACGATAATCACAATGGTAATAATGACTTTTAGTTATTTGCGTTCTTGAAAGGTATTATTTCATCATCTTCGGACGTCTAAGACGTTCAAGGTCACATTTACAGACAGTGATATAGATATAGTATAGAGAAAGGTCTTTATGATGCAGCAGACATCCCCTACTCTATAAGAAAACTTGAAAATAAGGAGCGGATGCTTACGGCAGCTAATAAAAAAACGTTTTGACGCACACGAAATGACATTTTTATATTGCCCTTTGCTGATTATGATTGTTCTCTTCCTGACAACCACGAAAGCCAATGCTTAAAATATAGTGACATTCATGCATGCAAAACATCAAAATCGCAATCTGAAGATATATTGAATTTTGTAAACGAAAGTGCGCAACCAGTAGTCAGGGATGAATATATGTGTGACACTGTGTCTCACTTGCATACACTTCAGTAATGGTTTGTTTCAATAAAGATATTCATTATATTACTTGGATCTATGAAATGCTTAATTCCAAATTTTGCAAAAAGCAAAAAAGATGCTTTTTAAAACGACCTAGCAATTGAAAAAGCTTCTTTATACGCTGTTTCATTCCAGTGAAGATTAAGACTTTGTTGAGTTTTTTCGAGAAGTTGCATGGCATGCATCCTGCCAACAGACACTCTTTAAATAAGTTTGAAAGTCTGGCACATGAAATGAAAAAGGAAGACGGTAACCTAAAGCATCTTTGTAATGAAATAGGTATCATGGGCGTTGACAATCATGGCCCGAAGGGCGAAATCTCATATAAAAGTTGAAATAGTGCATGTATAGTTGTAATACCAGCTGCTCGGCAGGGGATTAAGGCAATGGCATTATACCACAAGATTCACTCGAAAAGTATTCTGTTCGCGTTATTGCTAATTTTCTTGCTGCCATGTACATATGGTGAGAATTATGATGTTTTCGAAGACGAAGCTGAAATAGCATCAGATAACAAACTAATCGATATATCATCAGAAAACGAAGGTGACGAGCCATCAGAAAACAAATTTTTAAGAATAGGAGATGTGTACCGAGCAGATTTTGGACCATGGCGAGTGACACCAACACCCAGAATTGATGTTAGCCTCATTTCAAAATCAACAGCTGCTAGAGCACAGATTTCTTCAACGAAACAAGGCGAATAAAGGCAACACCATCAGCGGTCTTCCTGACCGTTCAACAAACACCAACAGAAAAACACCAACACCACCACGACAAACAACGCGTTTTGTCTTCCGTACAACCCGACGTATCAGGCAATATCGCACTACCAGGCGACCATTGAGTTTTACATCAAGACGACCTCGAAGCACGTCCAGACCACAAAATGTAAGACAATAAAAATGATACTATTATATTGTGGTAATAAATTTTTCGTGCAACGATGGCGTTTTCCCAATTCACATATATGTATACACTCCTTGAAATACTAAAAAATCATTCTCATGCGTCCATGACTGCAATGAAGAAGTGCACTGTTTTTGAATCCATTTTAAAATCATTATAAATATTTTTTAGTTACAGATCAATCAGCTGATTTTGTCGTGGAAACAGTCCCGCTGAATAACCCTAATATACGACTCAAGAACTTGCTATATGACTCATTAACTTGTAGAAACATCCGTGCATGCATGCATGGTTTAAACATATTATCAATAAAAATATGCGCATGCATGCCTCATCAATAGAAATAAAATACGAATACGTATATTTTTTCTTACTGTTTCTACCTATACTTTCTTTTTCTCGTATCAATTTCTGAAGTTTGATCTCGACGCATATTATATGATTCAGATTATAAATTTGAAATTATATCGCGGTATTTAAGCATTTGCAAAAAGGTAAACATTTTAACGTATTATATAGTCGGTAAACTATAGGTAACGACATTTTAGTTCGAGACGAAAACTAATCATTTTACTAAATGAAATATCATATTTACTCATGACTTACAGTAATTGTTGAGGAATTCTGAACGTCAGAAAGCTTTCGCCCATCATATCCACAAACTTCACCTCTGTACCCAAGCTAAAAAGTATCGAATTGACTTTTCAACCCATTATGATGACGCGATCTTTCGTTGCAGTAAAACCACATGCAATACTTACATTGTAGGAAATCTAAATGATCTTTGTAACATATTGTCGAATTTCGGTCTATATAGAAGATGAAAAAAACACCAATAATAACCGGGCGTCACTCTCCTTGATCTATCTTCCTAAGGCACCCTATAACACAACTGCTTCAAACGATTATCGTTTACGCACTTGTTTATTGAGCCACATCTTGGTCTGAACGTTCCATCAGTGTCCGCCTGAAAATAGGTGAAAAATCTTATTTCAAAGATTAAAAAAATACAATCATTAATACTTGACCAATCTTTCAAGGATGCATAATACAATCTATATTACAATAACCTTATATACCTACCAAAGTATCTTGAACAGTTTCAACCTAAAATACATGCATTATAGTATGACATTTTGTTGTGTTAGTTAGAAAGATTTCTCAGTTAAAAGAAAGAAAGATCTTTGATCTTTTGATCTTTGATCTTTAGATCTATTTTGATAAAAATTATTTTACCTTCCAGCCTAAATGTTATTGTCCCTGAGGCCGTTGGAGAGTCCAAGCCACTAAAACAGACAACATTTCGAAATTGTCATGACATTTTGAAACTGTTGACCGCGGAAACATGTAAAGGGTCCGAAAAAAGAAACATGCATGTTATAAAGGGTACACTAGTATTTGTTTATATATCATCCAATATTTATTCTCTGCTTCTCGGAAAGCATAATGATGAACTCACGTAAGAGAAAGTTGAATTTTCTGATTCGTGGAATCCAATATATCCTTGATTGTACAAACTGCCTGACCCAAATGAGTCATCTAAAAAATTCATCTCACTTGAAGAAGAACCCTGACGTTTTGTGCAATAAGACGATTTGTTTGAAGTTAAAAAATTACATACACTATATTTAGTGAACTACTTGCCTCTTCTTTATCTCGGTCGCGAACATCAAAGACAGCAAGTTTTAGTCTTGTTACCTCACTGTAATTTCCACCAGAAGGTATGCTTATAGTCGTCAAGAAATATGGGTGACGTTTTTGCTAAAACACAAGAAAATCCAACATGCACACGGAAAATTGGACAAAAACAGTATTGGATAAAAATCGCCTCAACAGGTCCTGATCATGCTGTAATACCTCTATTATTTCAGTCTGTGCAAGTCTGGACCAAGTTGCTCCAGGAGGGGTCATAGTACTAACAACTATAACTGCATTTGGATATTTATTCTCCACAGTTGGTTTTAGATCATTGCAAGCTGTGTAATAAATTGACAATATTTAGCTTTACTTAACATATTGTTCAGAATGAGTTTTTCAAAATTCTATACATGCTCGAAAGTTATAATTTACATGAACATTACCCATGCTTATTTCCAGCAACGGAGGTTTGTGAAGCGGTTTTGGTGGTTTTGGAGGCTAAAATTGCACGAAAAAATGTGATAAATTCCGCCGCAAACACGTGAGAGCAACTTCCTGAAGCAACCACTCCGTGAGGCTGCCACTATATGTGCACTATATGTTTTCTCATCGACGCAAAGTTTCCGCCAACTAGAGCTGGCGCGGGCGTATCAATCGATAATGCCGACCAGGTTGTTCACTTGTTGAAGCATTAAGAGGCCGGTGGTTAACCTGGTACCTCAGAGTATAAAGATGGGCACAGGTATATACTTACGTAAACAAATGCTTACCTCGCTGTCGTTATCATCACGAAATGGATGGTTATGCGGTAACGGGTGCTAAAATTAACAAGGGCAGTTTGCAATCCAACGGATATATGCATAATAACTAGCTGTGGATAGACTTGACTTCCCATCCCACAGTTCATGCCCATGCCCAACACGATATTGTTTATAATATTGTTTACCTCACCAGTCATCTCGGTAATCTGTTCACATAGTTTTTGTAATTTTTCTTTAAGCTTTTCGTAGCTGCAAGAATCAATCATCATTATATATACTGCATAGTCATGTAAGCTACGGTTCAATGAAAACTTAAAGGCTCGTTTACACTTGCGATTTTTGCTGCGATTTTGTGTGATTTTCTTCTTTTGATAGATGTGAACGAGTAATTAGTTACGAATGTTCTGGTGTATAAAAGCTCTTATTTGAACATCAGTAACTTATCACTCGTTTACATCCATCAAAAGACAAAATCGCATATAGCCTTAACACTAACCTTGCATTTTTTATATGTTTATTCCAGTCGTTATACTCAGCTTCGGAATTCGCCGCAAAATGGTAATGCTGTCCTTCGTCTTGTCTGTCGAACACTAGAAAATAGTAAGCCTCCAAAAATAAGAGCCGCCGTTCTTATAATTAAAATTAATTATTAGTGATGTGAGCAACGTGATGTGACTGATGCAGTTCACCTCCAGGCCCTTCTTAAGACAACTATAGCTATTACTAGAATCCCCCAGAGTTCGTCTTGCCAAAGTTGGTCATGATAAGTGTCAGTAATTGACATTTTTAATATTCGATGATGAATTTTATCCACCTTTAACAGTATCAACACTATACCGAATTAAGTATACCATGCATTTACACTTCATATAAACAGAATGCTGGAGGTAGTAAAAGTTCGTGGATATAAAGAGCTATACATAATTTTTATTTCGAAGCCCCGCCCAAAAATGCTCATGAAAATATCGTGATGAGGGAATTAAACTAATCAAAAGTTAACTCGTTTGTTGAACGTGACACGGTGCGACTTATTAATTACTGAATGAGGTCAAACATGATATGAAAAATAATCAATTTCAACGTTTAGTCTATAATTATTTGACGAACAGATCGTTAGTTTAATGAGGCTATGTGTTCGTTGTTGCATTGTGCATGTGCATGACGACATTTGGCGACGACCTCAATCACATGGTAGTGAAACGTAGCGCAAAACGTTTGTTTCCTGGGCACTTAGTTCGAACTGATAGGATAGAACTGATGATAGATAAAAAATAGCCTTTGCATCGTCGTTTGGAGTTAAAAAAATATCGTATTTTGCATATCTGTTTATCTTTTCCTTCTCCTGAAAGCCTGGTCTGTCATGACGGCAGGCCGGCATTACGATGAAAACAGAATATCACATTTTCACAAATTTTACTGATAAGAATGTGAACACATGGCGCGACATGATGGCGGCTACCTCAAGTCACGTGGACGAGTTTGTAATCTCAAAAGTACACATTTTTTTTGAAATGCAAATTTGGGACTTGAGGAAAAACTAGTAATATCTTTTGATTAATTATATTAGACCCATCAATATACAGCCAATCTTTAAAACGTAAAAGCTTGATGTTATGGGAATACGTGAAATCCATATTATAGAAGTAGTGATGTTTCAAAGACAGCCGGAGAGACATGTATAGATGGCATTTCCATATCAATATTGTCATATTTGCCAAGAGTCATTACGTCTTTATCTCATTTTTCTATTTAACCATCTGGCACTTAGTCTTAGATGATAGGCCAAATAAAACAAAAATTATTCCAGGCTATCAAAAGTCAGTTTAAGCAATTATAGAGCTCTTGAAATGAAGAAACATGACGCGAAACGAAACGTCTACAACACCAACTGCAGAATTTGAAAAATATTTGGAATATTGCGTTTGGGAGAATTTAAAGTTGTTACTTGTCACTGGCTTTCATTGCCGGCCATGCTATATCAACCATGTCGTCTGTTTAACTTACAATTTCATACAAACGCTCTTGATAATAGTTCTCAACTATCTAGCTATCCATGCGTTTTGGAAATCGCCGCAGTTAAAACGGAAAACTTCGTTTTTCGTTGTAATGGTTTTATCTTCAAACGACTTAGCAGCTGGACTCATTGCAGAACCGCTGTTTTTGCTACATCTGAGCAGGGAAATACGTGGAAATGAAAGATGTTTTAATGTCATGATGAGCAACCTAGCAATTGAAATACTTGTGTCTGCATCAGTTGTCACATTTTTGGCTCTAAATTTTGAAATATATTTGTCAGTCATACATCCAGTTTTTCATAGGGAAAAAGTAACGAATAGACGTATTTTCAAAATCGTTTTAATCCTTTGGTTTGTCCATTCGTTACGAGCCTACTTTTTTATATATTTCATCGATCAAGGAACAGTGAAAGTAATACAAACCGTATTTATAACACTAACTATGCTAGCAATGGTTTTTATGCATACAAGAATTTTTTTGGCAGTATATAACAGACGTAGGATTGACGTTATCACTGGTCGTGCAAACATTAAACGTCGAAAGGCTTTTCTGCAAGGAATACGCGATGCTAAACATGCTTTTTTGTTTTTTTGTACATTCAGTTGCTATCTGCCTTTCTGCCATTGAGGTTAGCTTGACGCCAAAAGCAACGTTTAAAGCAATCATTTTAAGTTCTTGGAGTACGACACTCATTTTCTCACTATCAGTTCTTAATTCCATCTTGTTCTATTGGCGCAAAGTTATTGCGGAAAGAAGCATTACGTTGTCTTCGAATAAAATTTTCACACTGATATTTAAAATACAAAGTAGTATACTCATGTAAGATATTTTGAACGTAGCATTTTAACCTATTCATATTTTCAATGTAATAATATTATGTAATGATATTTGAAATATTGGTGACAACGCGGGTCACATCAGCAAGACGAGTCTGAGGTCATTAATTAACCACCAATAATATGCAAATATTCATTCTCTTCTTTCAAAATATATTTACGAGAATATAAGAGTTCTGTATAACTATCATTAATTTTGCAGAAAGGCTGTTTGCATAATCAGATCGCAAGTTGTGCAGTTTGATTTT